ACTCACCAATCTTTTTGAAATTAGCTGACTATGTTACAATGGTTAGGTGCTCCTGAATATAGCTGCTAGCAATGCTCACAATTTACTTGCTAAGTATGGAATTCGGAGAGACATACCCACAATCACATCCATAGGTTTAAAAACACTACAAAAATAGCAACAGTGGCGAGGTTGCAGCTAAAACCAAACCAGGACGACAGTCATTAACCTATCAGACACAAAAAAAAAAAAAAAGTCACAAGAGTGTGGTTAGGCACTGTCTGTTTACCTGAATATTAAGTGTTGTGAAATATCGAGTTTGAAGCACAGCTGTATCGAGTGCTTTGCTCACAGAATGTTGATAAAAGTACAGATAAACCACAATTTATAATATCGAGTGCTTTGCTCACAGAATGTTGATACAAGTACAGAAGTGGTACCTAAACCACAAATTAAAGTTCACCACTCTAAATCATTTCTCTTACTACGTTGTACCCGACTCGAAAACCGTCTGTACAACGCGTTTTGGATCCATTCTTTTCAGTATTTTTCAATCCTAAATTGGGAAATATTTAGAACGCCTGCCGCTAAAATGTAGCCATGCTGAATGGAAAAGAATCAGCAGACGAAAGTAAGCAACTATATGATTCGGCAATTTCTCATTACTTTGTTCTGCGTACTATGAGCGCGGTTATTTGCAGTTCAAAAGAACCGGCGATCCCGTTTGCAACAAAAGTATACGTCCCATGAAACAGTCCGAAAAAGAATTATTCGCCAATGGCAACTAACTACTGTAACAACGCCAAGTGTACCAAATTAATTCCTTCGTGTGTGGATATTTTGGAAGGCAACTCCCCTTCGGAAACCTTACCTTTTGCTTCTGTCAATTTGGCTCGATGAGGTTAAAGTTTCTCAATCACCAACAACGTCAGGAAATGCAGACATGGTCATTAAAAGAATACAGGAGATTTTAATCCTTACAAGTAAGAGGTTCAAAGAAAATAATGACTAGTTTAAGTTCCAACTGTACACTCTATTTAAAAGGAATGTTTTTTTTAACTTGTTTACTTTATTCTGATTCTCAAATGAATCTCAAACCTTCAAAACCTGTATTACTTAATCAGTGAATATTTGTAACAAAAAGTGTAGGAGACATCATTAGAACAAGTGAAAAACAAGTGAAAACTAGTTGCAGTAATAATATCGTTTCCAAACATATTTATTGTTGCGGATTGTACTGCTACTAATTTTTGATAACTTGTGACGAATAATCTGATGTATTTGGGACTATTGGTGTGTCACGTGACGAATGGTTCATTTAAATGAAATGACAAATGCTACATCACATTGTGACGAATATTTCTTGTGATGTGACGATTGTTTTATCTCAGCCCCTGTGACGAATAATTTGTAGCAATATTTGTCGTCACATGACGATGCAGTTTAACAGTGTACCTACCCTGTGTCCACTAGTTCGGTACCTGCATTTCGTTTGGCATCGTTTTGCAATTGGCGTTAGTCTGGCACGCTACGTCACTTTCTCTTTTTTTTGTCTAGTTAGTCCCCTACCCTATCCCGCGGCTGCTAGGTTCTTTCTCTATGTGTTGATTTGTGAACTGTATTCGTATAGGTTGTCTATGGCGTGCGATTACCCTACGTTTTTTCTTCTTTCTTTCACGTGAAGGTCACCAGCTGAAGTTAGTTAAGGTTTAGTTTACAGGAGAAATAATCTCGGAAAGTCAACGTGAAAACTTGTGAGTGAAGTCAGTGATGTAAAGTATAAATTTAGTTAGTTTTAAATGTAAATTTTAGGGGCCAAAAGTAGTTTTTAAATTAGAAAGGATTTGTGCGCAAAAATCCAGTAAGAATTTACGGCTCACTTTTCTCTCACAGCGTTCTTCTCAATTTTCAAGTTTGTTCTCCGCCACTTAGTTTTATTTCTTTAGTGAGTGGCTGAGTAAGAGTAGGTTTAAGACTCT